AGAGAGAGGGGTTGTTTGGTAAAATATTGGACTTGATTTGAAAGGGATTTCAGAAGGCAGGGTATAAATGGTAAATTATAGACTTGGTTTGAAAAGATGTTTATGGGGAGGGACCATTTCTACCATTATGGAATAAAGTTTAAAAAGTGTCGGGTATTTAACTGTTCCAAAACCCTAACCCTAGGAACCATATCAGCCGCCACCTTATGTCCCCCACCACCGGCCGCCACCCTCATTCTCCACCTTCGGCGCCGCCATCCATGTAATTCGTTTTTCCGATCAGCTAGCGACCACCACGCGAGCACCAAAATTCCTCCGTTCTTCTTCTTCTCCTTCTTCAACCGTCACCTCCTCTGCTGCCGTCGGTGAAGTTGTGAAAGGCCGGAGAAACCCCACCAAGAACGATGACGGAGCTGTGACCGGCGAACACGAGTCGTGCACGATCGGAATGCTCATGGTGAGGCTATCTTTCATCTCTTTCATTCCTTTTAGTTGTATGGGGCCGCAATCATCGTTTTGGCCGCCGCCGCCGTTGGTCGCCATTTCTATGGCATTCCGGCGATGTCCTGCCACCTTGTAGGTGGCTGAATGCGTGTGTGTTCGCCTTTAAGGGCTGCTTTATGAGCTAATAGTGATGTATGTGCGTTATTTTGGGCAGGGAATCAAGATGACCCGCCACTACCACCACCATGAGGTGGTGGCTGTCATCTCCAACCACTATATGCCGCCATAAGTTTTTTGATTGAGTGCATAACCCGATGTTGTTGTGTTCCATGCGCGTGTATGTGTGTTGTTGGCTTGTTGCTGAACAAAAAAACTCAAGGAAAACCACCATGGCTGCCATGGTGGCTGCCGCCATACGCCACCAGGTGGGTGGCTGGATTCATGTTGCGATCAGAAAGAGTGTATTGTGTGTGGTGTTGCTTGGCCAGATCTCATGAGAAAAAACACCACCACCGTGAGGTGGTGGCTGCCACCTCCAACCACCGCTTGCCGCCACAAGGGTGGCTGGGTGTGTGTATGTGTTATTTGTGTGTGTGCGTTTATTTGGATATTGCGTTGTAACATTGTATTTGATCAGAATAATTAAGGAAAATCCGTCACCACCACCGTGAGGTGGTGGCCGCCGCCATGAGCCGCCATTGACCACCACTACCCGAGGTGGTAGTGGGTGGTGTCCAACTTAATTAATAATTAATTAACTTAACAACTTAACTAATGGGCTAACTGGATCGCGATTGGGTTGGAAACCCTAATTAGAGTTTAGAAAACCCTAATTAGAGTTTAGAAAACCCTAATTTTGGATTTTATTGGTTTGGACTTATCGGGACCCGCGTTTTGGGCCATTGGAATTGAATTGTGAATTACACCCGATCACACCATATGATTTATCTATTAGAGTGATGGACTTAATGGATTAAGTCCTTAATGGGTTAAGTGAGAAACATTTAACCCTAATTATCATTTAATGTGAAAACCCTAATTTTGCTTGGGCCTTGAATTGGGCCTTCCTATTGGGCTTTGGTGATTGGGCTATTGATGGGCCATTCAAGAACAAGCATATGGACTATAATATTTGGATGGGCTTTAGGGTAAGGCCTATGTGAGGGTTTTGGACCAATTTGGAAAATCGGGCCATAAATAGGCTTTAAGGATCATGAGAGGTTGGACCATTGGAATGTCAAATGTTTGGACCGGAAGAAATGGTTGGGCCTTAGGGTAAGACCATGTAAAGGTTTGGGCCCAATTTGGAAAATTGGGCCATATGTTGGGTTTTGATTCGTAGTTTGACTTTTGGGCCTTGAATTGGGCATTGAGCTTAAATCAAGCTAAGATGGGGGTAAAGTAGCCTTTTACCCCAAGCATGGACTTATGGATATATGTTGGAACCCAATTACTGATTGGGTGTTATTTTGATGATTGACAATTCGGGAATCTGTCATCCAGCAGCTAGAGTTTTGTATGCGGGACTTTAGCAGTACGAGGCGAGTTACCTTCCAGTAGAAGTGGGTCGAAGGCACCAATGCCGACCCACTAGTAGTTGATTATAGTTAAGATAATTGTCTGTGTGATAATTGTCTGTATGATAATTGTCTGGTATGCCACTATCTGTTATGAGTTATGTGTTAGTATGTTATGATATTATGTGATAGTAGTAGGAGGGGTGGATAGACCCTAATATCGGTTGTAAGGACCGACAGGGTAGGTCGGGTACCGAGATATGTCTGACAGTATGTTATGCTATGATATTATGTGATAGTGGTAGGAGGGGTGGATAGACCCCAATATCAATTGTAAGGACCGACAGGGTAGGTTGGGCACCCAGATATGCCTGACAATATGCTATGCTATGTTATTGTGTGGTAGTGGTAGGGGTGAAATAGTCCCCGTAACCGGTTGAAATAAACCGGAGGGTAGGTCGGGCACCCAGATATGCGTGGCATGGTAGGTCGAGCACCCAGATATGCTTGACAGGGGTAGGTCGGGCACCCCGGTATGTATGACAAGGGTAGGTTGAGCACCCAGATCTGCTCAACGGGGTAGGCCAGGCACCCAGATATGCCTGGCAGTATGTTTATCGTATGGTATGTGGTATGATGGGGGAACTCACTAATATTCGTGCTTACGTTTTTCAGTTTTGGTTTCAGGTACTTCATTTTCAAAGGAAAGGAGCCGACGATCGCAACGCATCACACTCTGTTTTCCGCACATGAGATCTTTGGGATTATACTATGATATTGTTTTATGATAACATGTTTTGATTATTGACACTTTGGTTTTGACATGAGATGTTTTTGTACCGTTGGTTTTATGAATTATTAAACTAAAAATAAATTTTTTGGTCTTAAATTTTGGGATGTTACACTTTCATAGTAACATGATTAAAATATTACAAAGACGTCGTATTACGTTTTCACAACCTTTTGGTATTTTCGTACAAGGCTATGTGAAAATTATGTCTATTTTAGATCAATTGTTTTATTTTTTATTAAAAGTCCTTCTTAGGTGTCCAAACACTTTTTTTTTAATAATTGTTTTTACAATTTGTTATATTTTGAAAACTCATTTTCAAAGGCTAAACTTCGGTATTCAAACATTTTTTTTAACTTATTGAATTTTCAAGAAGTCAATAAGTTAATAAGAAATTTTTAGATGAACACCTAAACAACCTCTAAATCTTAGAAACAAGACAAATAAACTGCAAAATTGGTCCCTGTGGTATTCAAAAACTTTGGATAGGGTCCAAAAAGTTTCTAACTTGCATGGAAGGTCAAAAATCAAGTTTTTTGTGTGATTTTGGTCCCTGATACACTTGAAATGTCAATTTTACCCTTTTCATTTCTTTTTTCTATTTTCTTTTGTTAATTTTAGTATTTAAATAATTAAAAAAAATCTCACCCCACCCCACCCCACATCAACTCTCTCCACCGGTTCCCCATGTTCTCTCTCTCACTCTCTCTCACTCTCTCACTCTCTACCTCTCAATGTGTATTTCATCAACAAACTTCACATTCTCTCCGTACCTTCAAAATTCATGTCCTTAAGAACACACACTAAAAAATTCACAAAATTCTTCATACACAAAAAGAAAATTAAACACAGATAATGAAAAGAACCCACATTTGCTAACCCTAGATCCGATTTCTCCATCTCAGACGATTCAAGACTTGATGAATTCTCCTTCTTCGTTTATAGTTTCCATTCAGTTTTCCATCTTCTTCTAATGTGATATTGATTTCAACTGGGTTTACACCACCGTTTCCATTTTTCACTATATGAGTGTGTGTTTTTTAATTTTTCTGAATCTATATACTCCAATAGATCGTGCAATCAATAGATCTTACACCACCATTTCCGTCTTCTTGTTCCTAGTCTGATCGATTTCAAAGGAAACAAAAATCAATTTAAATTTGGTTTCTTTTGCTACCACTTGACGAAGATTGAAAAGAGTGAGGGGTACACCTGAGGCAACACCAACACTTGGAGGCATCGGCATCATGGATGATTTATAGTAAACCCTTAAATCATCATCTCTGAAAAAAGCTCACGTTCTCATATTTGAAATTTGATTTCTAGAAAACGATGTCTAAAAAAAGGATTTTTTGTGTGTATGTTCATCCCTGCAAGCCCATATTCTTTTCTCCATCGAATCTGAAATTGATGTGTGTGTGTTTATCCACATAAACTCTTTATTGTGTGTGTTAATCCCTTTAAACACATTGGCGATAGAGTCCTCCAACCCACAATGAACAAACCAAATTTACACCTGATTCAACATAAAAAGAAACACCTGATGGAATTCGATTCCCATATCCATGGCTTTCTGCATTTTTTTTTTATCTAAACTTGATTTTGATGAGAATTTTGGGTTTTTTTTTTACTAGATTGGGAGGAAGATGTGAAAATTTTAGGGGTTGTTGAGGCTTTAAGTTGGGAAGAAAAACAATGGTGTGTGTGTAGCAAGAAACACGCCAAAAGAAGAAGAAGGAGAAGCTGGGTCTAAACCTAATTAGAAGCATCACCGAGACAATGGAATGGTATAGGATCGAAGATGCAAGGAATTTCAGAGGTGGTGTTTTTGATCTTCTGGTGCAATTTCAGAAGTGGCTTAAAGTCGATGTATGAGTATGTGTGTGTGTGTGAGAGAGAGAGACCCATTTGTTTTTTTTTTTTTTCTATTTTTGAATTAATAAAACATGAATAAGTATGAAAAAATACAGAAAAAAATTAAAAGAGCATAATAGTCTTTTCAACTTTATCAATAACAAAAATCACGGAAAAAACTTGATTTTAAGCTTCCATGAAAGTTGAAATTTTTTTAACCCTATCTAAAGTTTTTTGAATACCATCAAATCAAAAGAATTTTGAAGTTTTTTCTAAAAACAAATTTATGAGATTAAGTCATACTCCTATTTGCAAAATTTCTACAATGAAAGTGGTTATCTAATTAAACCGGTTATAAGACCCAGAATTACCGGTTTACCCCTTCCTGCCTGTAGATCGGTCACAACGTATTTTCCCCAAATTCAAATTAGTGAGAGGGAAAAGGAACCCGCTCTTGTTCTCAACTGCGTTTCTCCTACTCGGCAACCTGTGAAAAAGAAATCCTAATCGTTCTAGATTCAGGAATCCAAAATTTTCCATAGCTTGTTACAAGGCATCAACAATTTCGAAATCTACTAGGTTTAATTCGGTGTAGTCTTGGAGGTCGAACAGCGTTATTCAAAAAATGGCAGAAACCCTAAGCCCTAGCCGTACACCAGGCCACAAACAGAGAGCCTCGGTCCTCTCCCCGGATCGACCTTTATTTTTGGGATCTAACGATGATAAGCTCGAACGTGCTCAAGCACGCGCCGCTCGTGCTGCAGCGATCCGCCGGAAGCCCGTCGCGATTAATCAAGCAAACGATGCTAATCCTGCCGACCCTTGTCTTGGCCAAGAGCAGATTATGGAGTTGTTTCAGAATTGCATCAAACTCGCCAGTGAAAATGTATGTAATTCTCCTCTAGGATGTGTATGCATCTTTACTTTTTCACTTGTCGAGGCACGAGATGATTTTTTTTTTTGTGGGATGCAGAAAATTAATCAGAAGAATACGTGGGAGCTGAATCTGATAGATCATCTTTGCGACATTATTAAGGTTGAAGAAGAGAACGACGTGGAGACCAATTTTCAGAAGGTATAGAACATAGTTTTATGGTTCAAGTTATGGTTTTTCAAATTAAGTTTTATTTCTCTAGTAGTATCATGAAAGCGGTAGGTTTTCTTCTCAATCTTTACATTTCTCACACATTCAGATATTTTCTTCAGCTTCAATAGGTGCCTAGGGGTACCAATTGTAGTATTGTACAGATGAAAGCTGTAAAATAACTTTCGTTTGTTTGTTGATATGAACTGAAGCTTTTGCTTGTTGATAAACAAACACACAACTGTTACATCTTGTGACACACATAAGTACCAATTTTACCCTTTTCTGACTGCAGGCTAGCTGCACCCTTGAAGCTGGAGTTAGGATATACTCAATGAGGGTGGATTCAGTTCATTCTGAGGCATATAAGGTTCTTGGAGGCATTAGTCGAGTTGCACTAGAAGCTGAACAAGGTTAGTTTTGTCATTTAGCATTTGATGTTCTGAAAATCAACAGGGTCCAACTTATAAACACTTTATGCTATTCTGTAAACCAGATACTATAGAAGATGGCAACACTGAAAACATGCCAGGAGAACGCACTTCAAAGAAGGAAAAGGAAATAAAGGTTATCCAAGAAGTCAATAACCATTATCCAAATTCATTTCTCAATTTCAGAATTTCAAGTTTTGAACTAATGAATGATGATATACACATATTACATGCAGCTATCTCCTTTATCAACATTGGAATCATCCTTTGAGGCTCTTAATGTGAAGAAATTTGATGGTAGTGATTCAACAGAATATCTTTTGTTTCTACTTTGGGCATATACAGAAACTTACAGAAAAAACCATTTCATTTTTGTAGTTGCATTTGCTGTAGATCCTCTCTACCATCAAACAACTGCACAATTTGATGAAGGAGGATCAAAAGGTCTTTTACTAAATAACCTTGGAGTCTATGGTGGATGCCGAATGATATTTGATTCACTTGAAGTACCTTCAAAATGCATGTTATCTTCAAATGAAAATAAAATAGATACAATTGATATCTCTTATACCAAAGGTTTGTTTCTTGTTTCTTGTTTCTTGATTCTTCCATGTATACAACAAAAACGGTATCAAAGTTGTAATTTTTTGTTTTTTGTAGATTGTATAGAGCAAATGGCATCAAACTTTACAAAGAAACTTGAAATCTCACCAAGTTTGAAGGAAATAGTGAACATGTTTGATGAAGATAACAAAAGACCAGTGGATACGTTTTCTTCTTCCCAAAACTCCATAGAACCTGATGATGAAGCTTTTGAAGGCGACTTCAATGGTGGTGAAAACGATAATTCAGGGACATGGGACTTTATCAAAGACAACCAGACAAGTTTGAATGATGATGACACTTATGATGGAGATGATGGACACTTTGAACAACCTGATCATCTTCAGGTTCTTTAATCTTGATTGTTTCTGAATTAGCTTTCCAAAAAAGAAAAAAAATCAAAACTAATAATCGATTTATTTCCAGGAAAATGAGGCATATGTTACTCATGATGATGAAAAATCCTCAACAGTTGACAGTTTCTTGTTTCTAAGCCTTGGATTAACTGGAAAACATAATGCATGGGCTGGACCTGAACATTGGAAGTATCGAAAAACTAAAGGTAATTTTATTATTATTAATATTGTTATTGTTATTATAATTATAATCATTATTGTTTTATAATTATTTTGATTGTTGTGAAGGTCCAGAAGAGGCTGTGAAGGAAAATGGATCACCATTAATGGCTAAAAGTAAAAGAAACAAGAAACAAGAACCTGATATAGATTTCACAAAAGCATTGGAATTAGATAGTGATTTGGATAATATCTTTGCTCCTCCTAAAAACCCTAAGACATTACTTCTTCCTGTAAATAGAGAATCTGTTAGCACAATGCTTCCGGAAGATTGCCATTATCAACCAGAGGATCTTGTCAAGCTCTTTCTTCTTCCAAATGTTATGGTAATTTTCCAATTTTTGTAAAAATATTCAATTTTATTTCACCCTAATTCATTCATCTTGATTTTTATCTAGTGCCTTGGAAAGAGAGGAAGGAGATATTCGGGTAAGTTGAATTTCTTAAATCCAAAAATATATAATTAAAATTATAGTAAAGAAAATAAATGAAAGTACGTTGCTATTTCATGCATATTTTTAGATGAAGAAGGAGAAGGGAATAATAATAATGAAACATTTGCATCATGGGATAATGATTGTGGCCAATTTGATGATGGAAATGTTTATAATAGTGATATTGAAGATTCCACCACACTCGTCTCTCAGCCACGCCAGGTTTAATTAATTAATTTATTTATAAAAAATATAATCCTTTTATGAAATTTATAATAATATATTTGAAAAAAAGGTAAACAAGATTGAAGTGGAGTATGATAGAACATCAAAACAAGTTGATGTTCAAGCACTCAAGGAAATTCTTTGGTCATCTATTCAAGAAACACATGTTTCGCCTCAAGTAAGTTATCTGTTTTTATTTCTGTTAAGTCGTTCTTTCTGTATTAAGTCTGACTGTGTAAAGTTGCGTACATAGAAGGAGACGAAGGAGTTGTCTTTCAAGAACATGTTGGCGACTTTTCCAACCGATGTGAAAAAACAAGCGGCTGCATCGATCGATGCAATCTCTCCACATTTGTGTTTTATATGTTTGTTGCATTTGGCTAATGAGCATGGATTGAGCATCCATGGATGTGATCTTTTGGATGATCTCACCATATATGTTCCCTCCATGTAGTTGTGATTGGTGTAACACACTATTATCATGTAACATGAATTGTTTTTTGTTGAAAATTGTGTAAACGAATTAAAATGGATGTTTTTAAATTGATTGTTGTGATGGGTAATTTTTGTGGTTATTGGTTTAGATCTCTTCTTTTTCTTTCTGTTAAGTTAAGTGGTTGAATATGTAATGATGTTTTTGGAGAAAATTTTGTATATATAAGGTTTGTCGTGTATGGTAAAAGTCATTGAGATAGTAACAAAAATTATTTTTTTTGATGCTGAAGTTAATTTTTTAGGGAAGAATAGTATTACGACTTACGAGGCTTAAACATAAATGTAAGGAGAAAATATAAAAGCTGACAAATTTTCAGTTTTGATATCCTGATTTTGAGAGAATGTATCATTGAATATGGAACAAAAAATGAGAATTTATAGCCTAAAATGAAGTACAAACTTTAAACTACATGATAGAAAAGATCTCATGTCAATCCTACGTTAAACGAATGAGATATGTAGTTTTACAAACTTTCACAAATTATACATAAAAGCTGAAAAGTTGTAACTCATTGAATATGAAACCAAAATTGATGAAATTATAACTTAAATCGAAGTATAAACTCTAAACTATATGCTGGAAAAGCTTTCATGTCAATTAGATTTCAAATGAACGAGTCATGCAATTCTAAAAAATTTCATAGAATACACATAAAACCAGGAACTTATCCAAAACCAAGAGCCAGTGTACATAACCGGTTGAGTGTGATTTCACGTATCAAGAACCGACCCTATAGTATAGAAACGATGCCGGTCCACCCGGTTCAGATGCTCATCCATAATATTTCGTAGGTAAAACTACAATATTAAACTTCATTTTGTTGTGTAATTGGTTTTTGAAGACTTCAAACTTGAAAAAAAAACTTCAAAACAAATGTTTTATTATTATTAGTATTATTTAGGACTTTTTTTTCTTCAGATTTCAACTGCACAAATTCTTAAAACAATGTTATTTGAGAGATTTTCAAAGATGACAAAAAATTTCATATATAGCTGTGAAAATCATGATTATTTTGATCCAGTTGCTAATTTTTGTTTAGATTTTTAAAGTGGATAAGATTTAAATTGATTTGACTTTTTCGCAATAAACAATTATAGTTAATTAGTAGTTGAGATTAACTACTTAAATCAATGAGAAATCACATATCTTCCTACATTTTCTTTTCTATTTATCTTCCTACTCACTACTAGATCAAGACAAACGTCAAAACCAAGAGATGAGATTAAGAGAAAGACAGAGAACATTAGTGGTATCCACATATCATAATTTTATATGAATAGAAAGATGAATATGAAGAAAATAATGAAAGATATTTAATTTTTCTAAATCATTAACTTTACTAACAAGACATTGGAAAACAAAACTAATCGTGTCAGTTTGATTTTTAACAACGGTTGGATGGCATTTCAAAATTTTTAACAATTCAATTATTGTGTATTATTATATTTATTTAAATTACTTTAGATATAATTTATAAATATAAAATTATAATTTTCTTTTATGGTGTTATTGTAAAATGTAGATAAACAAAGGATGTAATAATACACCTGTCCCATATTTATTATTTATTTTTTATTTTTAAAATATTTATTCTTCAACTTTGACCTTAAATATTTTTTATTGTAATATATAATACTTGATACAAAATATATGAATGAATTGTTTTTTTAAATGTGTTTTCATTTTTATATATTTCATCAACTAATATATAACACAAATAAAAATATTTAAAGTCAAAGTTGAAAAATAAAGACTTTAAAAGTCAATAGTGGACAATAAATATGGAACGAAGGGGGTCATTTTAATTTTCGGAGGGACAATTTCTACATACAAACTAGGCCAAAAGGACCATACAACCAAAAAAATCGAGGTTTAGACTTAATCTCAGAAAAATTGCAAGGACCATTTTTGCAGTTTTGTCAAGAATTTGAAACGACATCTTTTTGTTTAAAAGAAAAATAGAAAAAACGTTAGTTTTGAGTTTGGACCGCATCGAACCAAATCAAAAATCATTCGAAAAACGTTTTTCTTTTTCAAAAAAGATTTGGGATTGGGATTCCAATTCAAAATAATCGATTCATGACTTATTTGGTGGGCTTTAAATTAGTCTTTTAGTTTTATTAATACAGATTAAATTTTGCGGAACTCAGTACAATTTTTTACAAGCTCGAGCCAAGTTCAATATAATAAAGCTCAAATCGAACTGAGCTTGAGTTCGAGTGACACATAACTTAAACGAGTCCGGCTAGCTTTGGGCTCGGCTCGACTCGTTTGTATCCCTATTAACATTTAACAAAATCCAAAGAAATATCTTGTTGTCATATAAAATATTTATTGTTTTGTCTAAGATGATATAATAAAAGCCATTATATTTCTATTTCTATTTCCGCTTTAACATTTGATAAAAGTGACATTACTTTTCATTAATACTTCCTAAAATAGAAATTAACTTTTTTAAAATATCTTCTAATTTATTTAAATGGTAGTTACTATAACATGTTTAACCAATAAATAAGAAACAATTTCATAAAGTATGTAATACCATGAAGATAATTAAGAAGTCATGTTAATTTTAACGTCTTTTAAAACATAAATAAAGGATCGTAGTGATCATAATAATTTTATTTTTACAAAATATAACTATATAAGTGGCTTTCATTAACCAATTTGTGTATATATTACTCTTTCAGTCTTTTGTCTTGCTAGGAATATTTATTCCTTGCAAAGTTTTGCCTATTTTTTTCATCAACCATAGCAACATATTTGTGAAGTGATATTTGTTTGCAAGTTTCATTTTCTGAAAATATTGATCATTATTATATATATATTAAAGTTGTGGAAGAAAGGAATAGTGAAGTTGGCATACTTTGTCCAGGTTTGGTCCTTTGATTACATATCCGGTCCCTGTATTTCTTTAATTAATTTATTCATGTCCTTTTGTTTGTGTTCCATTCAACTTCCCATTTTTTGGCAGAATTGGTCTCTGTATTATTGTTGGAAGTTAGGAATACTAAAGTTGGATGTTTTTTGGCAACTTTGCTCATTATTCTTTACCCATTTTGACATTTTTGGTCCTTGCAATCAATATTTTTACACTTTTTTGGAACATTTTATTATTTAAAGTTTGGCCACAAAACTTTAACGGTTTGACAACTTTGATCCCTTTTCTAAAAAGTTGCTAATTCCTACCCCTTTAATTCTTTAGCTATTTTCACACTTCTGGTCCTTGCAGTCAAAACTTTTACATTTTTTGTCCGGGGCAAAGCCCGGACTTTTCATCCTTGCACTTTCTATGTCTGTCATATTTATCAATTCGGAAACAACATTGAAAGCTTCTGGACCCCGCGTAACGGGGGTAACCTTTCTAGTTTTAATATTAAATTTATTTATTAAGTTTAAAATGTTATTTATATTTTCCAAAATATACCTATATGAATTGACCACCGGCCATGTGTCCTCCTGCCACCTGCTACGTCACGTGAAAAACGATCTTCTCGGCATGGTGGTGATTGGTGAGGATTTAATTGTAGGGGTTTTCTAAAAGTACCCCCTCTTTTTCCAATTCCACCACCTGATTTGACTTTTTGTCTTTTGTTGTTTTTTTTTTTGTTTTTTTCCTATTTTGTTTTTTTTGTTGTTTTTAATTCTTTTTTAATTTATTATTATTATTATTATT